AGAAAAAATACTTCTATTTTTTTTTTATTTTTAAACTTTGAAACGGGTCAAATTGACCCGGAACATAACAGGAGGGTTAACAGTTTCATCAAGCTTTTTGTGCTGATTGATGCCATACAGCAGCTATAAAAGGTGCCTGTTGAGCTCATCAAACAGTTGCTAATTCTGAAGGTTGTGAGCAGGATGTAAGTACATTTCACAGTGCATCTCATTTCCTGTTTCCTATGAACCTCATGCCTAGTTTAACTATGTTTTATGGTCCTTGTTAAGCTTAAAGGACTTCCTTATGTTGAGGTGTGGATGGTAAAGTCTGGTTGAGCGGAAGAGAGCATCTTTTGCATGATGGCGTTCTCTTCTGTCTGCCTCGTTCTCTGTAAGTAGCGTCTCTTGAGTTTTTTCTGAAACATTTTGCCTCCAACTATTTGTTTCAAATTTTTTACCAACCTTTAGCTGTTTTCTTTATCAGTGAATCCAGTTTGTAACAATTTGGTCATAAATCTGCATTAAATTACCTGAAGAAGCAAATTAAATCTATATGAGACATTTTCACTCATTTGTTTTTAGCATTTATTTTTTTACTTCGTTCCTTAATTTTTTCAATTTTCATTAGTTTGAAGAGAAAAAGTAAAATGTAGGAGTTTGATACTTTTTCATAGATAAATAAATTTCAGGATGCAGTAATGAATTGTTTTAAATATAACATTATATTTTAGCCTGAATTATAAATACCACCCCATTTCTACTGCAGAACACAATGACCTGCAAATCCATTTGAACCTACATTTTAACCTGAGGCATGTTTACTACTGCGTAACATCAACTTCTTTTTAAAAACACTCAAAAAGCAGTTTGGCACCGACTTGCTTGAATAAGCAGGAACATCTGTGAAAAAGACATTGCTTGGATTTGCAAAAGTATTCATATCATTTGAACTGTTTCATATTTTGTCACATTATAACCACAAACATAAATTTAATATATTTCATTATAGGGCTGGGCAATGTATCGAGTATACTCGATGTATCGCGATATTTTCCATTTAAAATGGCTATATCACAACCATCGAGTATAAATTGTCATTCAAATAATAAACTTTCGCTGTCAAATTCACTGCGAGTTTGGTTTATCCGACACCCTCTGAATGCATCACTCCCCCCTCCCAACCTGAAAATGTTCTATCAATCACGTTGCGCGGAGAAAACAACATGGTGACAGCGGGAGTTTGAGGCGAGCCATGAATGAGACGGTAATCCATCCATCCATCCATCCATCCATCCATCCATCCATCCATCCATCCATCCATTTTCCTCCGCTTATCTGGGGTCGCGGGGGCAGCAGCTTCACTTCCCTCCCCAGCCACGTCTTCCAGCTCCTCTGGAACAAGTTGTAATCAAAATATTGATTACAACTTTGGGTCAACTCTTGAGTTTGACATGTCTCCTGTTAGTCCTTTTTTTTTTTTAATAAATAAATAAATCTATGTCTGGAGGCTTGTTTGTGCCCCTCAACAATAATTTTTAGGTAAATATAATAATTTATCTAAATAAAAGACTCTGCTGCTGAAGGGATCTGGGCTGGAGGTTTGCGGGTGTGAATAGAAGTTACTGCAGAACCTCAACTGAACTGATAAAGGAAGATTCGACCCATAGCATTTGGAGTTCACAAAATATCACATAAACATAAACGAAAATACCGTAGCAATAATTAGAATCGCAGCATAAAGCCAAACATGCCACAATTAAATAAATCAAGATGTCCCAAAGCATCGGCAGACTGACATCTTCAGGAAGAGAGATGCACAGCACAGCGGCTCTTCATGCAGCGGCGGCCCAAGCTAATATGGGGCCTTAGACAGAATCATGACTTGGCCCCCCAGCCCTTATCATTAGCATCTCTAACATGTTTAAATATAGATTTATTGAACTCTATAGGGGGCTCAGGTTAATTGACCGAGTTTAAAATCAATCACTGATTACTGGTTATTTGCTGTGATGTATTTGTGAACAAACCAGCTGAAACATAAATATTACACCATATTGTAGCCATGGTAACACAACAATCAAGATGATTCTTTACACTTTTACAAAGTAAACTTTCTAATTAAATCCTAAATGCACAATTTATTTATTTTTTTCTGCTGAATGCATTAAATAAAATCTAATAACATTATCATTCTCAATAAATAAATGCTACAGGTTTAGATCTGTAATCTGTGTTTCGATTCAACCAGTTATTCAGCCCCTGAATGTCTGGATGGCCCCTACTAGCAGCTACTGAGTTTTCGTTGCCTTTATTTCTCTGTCTTATAATTCTAGATCTCAGAATATCAAAAAGTTATGTAGTGTTAATGTTATGTTCCGTGTTTCTGTGTGTTTATTTTTGAGTTTTCTGTGTTCAGTCCTGTTTTCCTGTGAGTCTCTGTCCTGTCCTCCCCGTTGATTGCTCCCCAGGTGTGTCTCATTCCCCTGATTACCCCGTGTGTATTTAAACCCACCTGTTGTCTGTGTTCCTCGTCGGGTCGTTGTCATAGTCAGTCAGATAAGTTGTTTTTTGTAGCCTCGTTTAAGCCGTCACAGTAAAACTGGAAAGTCCTGTGACGGCGTGGCTCTTGTTAGTTCAGACCGTCACAGTAGAACTGGAAAGTCCTGTGACGGCATGGCTCTTATTTTGTCAGTCTTTGTTTAGTTGCTGCCGGTGCTGAGTTTTTGTTTCCACTCTGCCGTGTTGCATGTTTTTGGACTGTTTAGAGCTATATTTGATTATTAAAAGACGTTAACTTCACTACATCCTGGGTCCTGCGTTCAATCTCACCACCAACACACTTCATGACAGTTAACAGCTCTGAGCTTTTTGATCTTTATAGCAGTCTGCAGCCAAGTTGTCACAGAGGCTAAACAGAAGTAGCAGCGCTTATTTAGTCAAATATCAGCAGAGACCTTCTCTCCTCTGGTCTGTTTAACACAGTGGTTCTTAACCTTTTTTGAGGTACCGAACCCCCCCATGCCCCCCTGACACAGAAAATAATTTGCGGCATTCTGGTTTAGTAATGTAATTATATGAGTTGTATTACCACCCCCACGCCACTAGAGGCAGTACCAACCCCAAAAAGATACGACGAAGGAGCAGATTTAGACTACAGAATTTGGTAAAAACTGAGCTTTACTGAAGTTATTAAAGACACAAGTTCAAATCCATGCTGAGTTGAGCTCCTTCAATCAGGGCTCCTCCGCAGCTCTGATTGGCTCAGCAATGTAACGTGATCCTCTGCAGCAAGTGATGGCAAAGCGGGGCGTCATCCCGAGCCTCCGCCGAACCCCTGAGACCGACTCATCGAACCCCTGGGGTTCGATCGAACCCAGGTTAAGAACCACTGCTTTAACAGCTTCAGTCTCAGATCAGCTCAGCCCTCCAGGTCTGCCAGCAGCAGAAACAGAAACATTAAACCTGATAAAATAAACTACATTTGCTTTGCATTGTCCCCACATGATGACAATGATATAGTATGATCCAATTAAATATTAGATTCTTGATTGATATGGGTTGTTGCTACGTTGTTATGGTATTTTAAGATCTTGTTCAATGTGCCTCTTTTTAACTTTGAGCCCCTGCCCCTCCAAAGGTCTCTGCACGGCCCTGTCTGCAGCCACACTGACTGTCACTCCCAACCGATCCCAGTTCTTCCAGTACAATGAAATTGTTCTTGCCTGTGTGAGGAACTCCAGCGGCTGGACAGTGATGAGGCAGATTATGAACCGGCCTCCTCAGAAATGTCATAGAGGCTGGGGAATCCCTGGAAATTCATCCTGCAATATGGAGAATCTCATTCCAATAGACACCGGCGAATACTGGTGTGAGTCTGAGCGAGGAGAACGAAGCAACAAAGTCAATCTCACTGTTACTGGTAATGGACATGCATCTTGTTTGAGTTTACTTGAAGTGTGGTTATTTTAACCTTTATAAGTTAATATAATTCTTATAAAATGGTTTTCATTTCAGATAAAACTGTGATCCTTGAGAGTCCTTCATATCCTGTCTTTGAGGGACAAAATGTGACACTTGGTTGTTCCTACAAAGAACCATATGGCAAATCCACGTCAGACTTTGATGCTGAGTTTTACAGAGATGATGTCTTCATTGGGAGAGAGAAACCAGGGAAAATGATCATAGAAGCAGAGGAAGGTTTCTACAAGTGTCTCCATCCTTTTAAAGGAGAGTCACTGAAGAGCTGGCTGGCAGTGAGAGGTGAAGATCGACTGCTTTGTTTCATTCAGGCTGTCAGAACTGAGTTACCTTTAAGAAAAGGTGGATTTTGGTTAAAACTTTTAAACAAAATGGGCCCCTGCCTCTCTCCTATGGTTCATCTCAGTCTCCAAAGCGTTGCCTCTAATGCACACGCTAAAGAAACCTGTTTTTCTGGCTATATTCTCTTATTTAAGTAAATATTTGCTAGAATAAGTACGTTTGTTCAAATTACACAAATGTTCTGACAGAGTAAAGTAACATTAATTATCCTGTAATAATGTTCTAAAAATAGGGGATAAAATGCAGTAGATGTTGTTCAGTTTATGTCAAAAAGACACTCCAACAAAGTCCTTTAATAAAATTGTAATTTACCATTAAATGATTTTTGGCACTGAGCTTTTCTTACCCTGATCCTATATAAACAGATATATAAAAAAAATTAAACCTATCGGTTCAATTCAATTCAGGTCACTTTAGTTATATTCATCTAAATGTCGTTTCAAGGCACTTTATAAAAAATCATTTCAGTTCAATCATTCCAATTGATCCTAGCTGTCAAACTGTATGTTTTGCTCAATTAATTATTGAAAACAGTTGAAAAAGTTTCTATCCAGCAGGTTTCCTTAGACGTTTACAGGCCAGTAAAGGTTAAAACCTCTGCAGACCCCAACAATCTTCAAGTTGCCTTGTTGCTCCAGCCTGAATCAGAGACTGATTCGTTACAGACTGACTGCATTCAGGTCTGATGGAGTAAAGATGCATCTAAAGGCTGCAGAGCTGCAGCTCCTGAGGTCTGGACTTCAGCACTTCTGGTGGACAATAACTTGCTGGATGAACCTGATTCTGGTTCTTCCTTTTTGTATTGTGACTGAAAGTTTTATAGCTGTCGTGTACCACAAATTAAATTAAATATTTTATTTTATTGTATTGTTTTTGCTTGCAGCTAGAGTTCCCCAAGCAGAAGTTTCTCCTTCTCCTCCTCCTCCTCCTGGTCCCGATGTTCCTTGGATCAGAGTGATTAGTTTCATTCTGCTCTTCATCCTCTACACCATCATACTAATCTTGTGTGTTTACACATACCGTAAATGGGCTCGAGGTGAGTTTTACCATCCTATCCAATGGAAAATTATTGTGAAAATGTTTTCTGTCTGAATTTAACAAAGGCTGTTATTTCTTCTCCTTTTATCCTGGGATATTCCTGTTTTACTGAAGCTACACTAAAATAAAAGTATTTTTTAGAAATCACATCTTTTTAATGAAAACAAATGGATTCTTAAACATCAAACTCTCTTAATGGGATGTAAATATTGGCTTGTACTCTTTTGACCACTGGTCAGTAAGTCTTTAGTTTCTGCTCCTCTAAGTGAATCTGATAAAATTAGAGCAGCTGGAGGATTTGGCAATGTGGACACAGAGAAGAACAAGGTTTTTCAAAATAAAATGAGATGTGATTCTGGTCAAGGTAACATTCATTTAATCAGAGCAATACATGATTTCAAGGACTTATATACCATGTTATATATATGTATATATTATTACAGCTGTGAATATTTGCTGTTATTTTACCAACTGCTAAACATCCAATTACTTTTCAGTTCAATTCAGTTTATTTTCTACAGCACCAACTCACAACTAATGTCATCCTGACACATTTTACTAAAAATATTTTTAATTCAGTCACAATCATTACAATTGATCCCAGTTACCAAACATTATGGGAAGCTCAGTTTGTTGTTGAAATAGTTTTCTATCTCTCTCACACATTCCTACAAACACCCTGTGACCCACCACATCCTGTGCTCCAGACTGAGCTGCACTGAATGAAATTCATTGTTTACACAATGATAATAAAGACATTCTGATTCAGATCATTTTAATCTTCTCTGAAAAGTCAAAAGTTTGAAGATCTTGATGCTGTAATTATTTTGGCTGTGTGTTTTTTCTCCTGTGAGTTGAAGTCAAAGAAAACAACAAATGTGGTAAAAATGTTAAATCTGGTTCTAATCTGGTGACTTTAGTGGTAAAGGAGGTTTTAAAGAAGGCAAAAGACAAAATAAATGTAAATGTTAGTCAACTCTACCGCCCCCTGGTGGAGTTAATGGAAAGTAATGGGTAGCAATCATTTAACATGCTCCTCTCTTAATTATTGTTAAATTTCAAAATGTCTATCATGTTAGTAATTGTTGTCCTTTTTCTTGCAGCCAAGACTGATATGAAAAGGAGAATTGATGATCACGTTTTGTTGAACTGAAGACAAAGAAGACAAAATATTGATCATCTGTTTATTGAAGCAAAATGAAAAATAAGACGAATGATATTAAAAATACAGAGAAATGTGATTTATTCTCCCAGTCAAAACAGAGTATTAAAGTATTTTCATCTAATTTTATAGACTATATGAAGTTCAGATAAAATATATTTTGCACTTTTTATAGTCTGATTCATAACTATTTTAGTAACATATGCAAATGGCTATATTGTGGACAAGTCAGCCGCTATGAACTGAGATATTAAACATTTAGTAAAAATAGGAAATTTGGGACATTTAAGGTATTTAATAAGCCTGACACGAGCTCAAAACAATTTACCTTCAAATTGAAATGTGAGATTGATTTAATAATTATTCATGTCATTCTGAAAAATGTAAATGCAAATATTTTAAGTTCCACAACCATTCATGTGGAAATATTACAGAATAATATTCCAGCTATACTTTACAGATATAGAAAGTTTTGTTCTGTCTTTGTTATTTGCAGATGTTCATGTTTCAGCTTAATGCAGCTTCCAGATTAGCTACATGAATATTTCAAACAAACATGTTCAAACTGATTTGATTAAGAACAAAATATCTATAATCATTATTACATCTGTTAAAATCATGTGTGTAGCAATCAGTTATTTTTCTTTTGAACCTATGTACAACTGTAGACTAAGCTTAAGGTTGATTTTGTATTTTTAAGAGTAACACTCTTTACTCCTTTTTAACAGTCGGCTGCTTATGCAGTAACTGATGTAACAAACTGATAGAAGCTGTTAAATGACCAGTGAACTACTGGCTTTGACAGAGCAGCTGCTTAATTTGCTTTTGCCTTGGGCCGGCTCAACATCCTTTTGCTCTTATATCATTACTGTATTAGGAGATTGTTTAGTAATTTGTTTTATTTGCTCAACTAAAATGTAAAAATAAATAAATAAAATTATGGTATCGAGATCTTGGGTTGTTTGTGTTTTGGTTCTGTTTCTGTGTTTATCAGTTTCTTAGTGACAAAAGGCTGTTAGTCACTGATGCAGCAGGTCATTGTAACATAACACTGGTTTCACTGAACTTACATTCCAGATATTTGAAATTAGATTATGAGAACATTAAGATATTTCTAACTATAGATTAGACAAAATATCTATTTGAGATATCTCTAGTTACATTGTAAATAACATTAATGATGTCAGTTTTACCACTGAATGCATGGAGACTAAATTCAATGTCTGCAACAGACTGGTGACCTGACCAGGACGACCTGGTGACCTGACCAGGGTGACCTGACCAGGTGACCTAATCACTTCTCTGGAGGATTTTTATTCAGCTACACTAATAACATTTACATTTATTGTTTTGACAGACCAAATGTTCAGTGTAAACTGGGATTGTTTTGATCATAACCTATCAGGACTTCAGTCCTTATTTTATTGGACCAAGATCAGATTCTGGATCAAACTGTCGATAAAGTTGTCTTGTGACTCACTTTGCAACTCTATTCATTTATGACTCTGTCTTACTTTGTATTTTGTTTGTGTTCTTTTGGATGTTATTGTCAGTAATATTTCCAAATATCAGAAACAGTCGTGGTTTTCAGATGAGAATAAAAATCAGAGTTTTTGTTGCTTTCAGTTGAAATCTGTTTTCTACCTCCAGATGGCAGCAGGGCAGGATCTCCTATGATCCCAAGAAGACCCAGGAAACACCGACACCACAGGAGATTCTAGACTGAGGACTCAAACGTCCCACCCTGAACACAACGGCTGGAACAAAATGAGGAGAATTCTGAAAGTTGGCCACCAGATGGCGCCAAATGCCACAGGGCGCCTCAGCAGAAGAAAAACCGAGTCCATTTCAAGTTTTTTTTTTTTTTTTTTTTTTTTTTGGGAAAATTAAAAACAAAATAAAAAACTTTGCAAGAAAATTTTTCCAAAAATTTTAAAAAAA